CATCATGCTTTTAGCACAGAGGAGAGACTGTGATGGGCGAACGACAGCGTGCTTTTGGCACAGAGGAGAGACTGTGACGGGCAAACGACAGCGTGGTTTTAGCACAGAGGAGAGACTGTGACGGTCAAACGACAGCGTGCTTTTGGCACAGAGGAGAGACTGTGACGGGGGAACGACAGCGTGCTTTTAGCACAGAGAAGAGACTGTGAGGGGCCTCTAAGCAAAGAGAAGGAAAACGAGCACAGCAGAGGCAGAATCCTGCAGGTCGACAGCATGCAGCTGTATGACCTTCACACTGATACAGACGGGCCAGCGACATGAGCGGTGTGGGACAGCAATGACAGCGAGAGCCAGCAGGAAGACAGCAGACAGAAGGTCACTTAGACAGCCCCTGTCATTTGGGAGCCTGGACTTCTGTCAAAACTTATATCTGAGTATTAAACCAACAGTCAATGAACAACCCTCAGGAAAACAGCTGCACTGGCTTCCTGGGTTTATGTCACAATTTACCATAATTTTTGAGTTTCTCAGTGCAGAAAGCAACCTTGACATTTTACCCAAAGAATTAAGTTTCCCATGAGGTGCATTTTTCATTAACCATAGTCAGGTAAAAAAAAAAAAATACTGTAAAAGTCCCCAAGGTATGTAAATTTGACATGCGAAAGCCTCAAGGATGCCCTCTGTTGGACATAATATAAATCCACATTCTTCCCCTCAAACAGATCCTCCTTCTCACTTAAATCAAGGAATGTCAGATACGCTGCCCTCCTCCATGGACGACACCTGCCTTCACATGGTGCTCGATGAGGATCTCCACAACGATGTTCTGGAACTTCAGCTCCATGATGGCGGCCACCGTCTCTTCCTCGGGCTTCATAAGCGTGGGCCCAAACACCACGCCCAGGTTGGCCACCGTCATCTGGTTCTCCTTGCAGTTTGCCGCCACGCTGCAGAGAGAGCCGGCGAATCAGGAATCTTCAACACCGAGGATGTTTCTTCAGCATTCCCTGAGGTCTTCTCAGCCCCAGGGAAGATTCTAGCTTGCTTATATTAAAATTCGGATCATGCGGACATTTTTAGAATAGCCCTTGTTAAAACAGTAATTGTTAAAATGACAGCGGACTTCCAGGTGGGGTTTGGACAAATATGTGTGTTGAGAAGGGGAGCGGGCAGCAGGGGGCGCCATTGGGTCGCTTACTTGGCAAGGTGTCTGATGAGCATCCCCAGCATCTCCTGGTTCTCTTGGGGCAGCCGGTGTACCAAGCCGAGGACAGCGTGCGCTCGAGACCCTGGGCTGGCGCTCTCTGCATGGGAGAACATAAGAACATAAGAACTATACAAACGAGAGGAGGCCATTCGGCCCATCGAGCTCGCTTGGGGAGAACTTAACTAATAGCTCAGA